CGGAGAACCTAACGGGTAACCGGGGCTCCGGCTCGACGTGCAGGAGAAGGAACAGGGTGGTTTTTAGTCAGTAAGAGTCTGACACTCCCTTCCGCCTCACCCAGGCGGGAGCAGTCATTCGATGATTTTCCCCACTTAAAAAAAAAAAATACCTGGACAACCTAAACTATACATAAACGTATCTACCTAGGTAATGGCTAAGTTTCATGACGATATCACAAGTTCGAAGACGCACACTTATGTAGTCGTAGTCATATGGACTTACACGAAGACTACTCAAAAAGGACCTGTCTACCAGTAATCGTAACGAGCAAGCGTTCGGCGCTCTGATTGGCCGGCTCTAATGAACCAACGTAGAACAAACAGGATGGTTCATTGTTTCATTGAGTGCTTAACCCGTTTTCTGTGCCTCTTGTCCCAAGTTCAATGGTGAAAGCTCCATCTCCGTCTGAATGGAAATACATCATACAAACAATGTCTAGTTAACTAAAAAGTACGAGTAACGTAAATATACTGAGAAAAGCTCTGCTAATTTCGAGTCATACGCTCTTCCCCATGAGCAGCGTGCGCGGTCGTGGCGATGTAGGGTAGGCTGCGCCCGAGCGTACGGCGCGCGGCGCGTCGCATTCCGCGCGCGCCTTCAAGAGCCATCAGACCACCACAGATGGGGCCCAATAGGGCTGTTGCCGATTCGGAGTCGCGGAGAACCTAACGGGTAACCGGGGCTCCGGCTCGACGTGCAGAAAAAACGGGGTGGTTTTTAGTCAGTAAGAGTCTGACACTCCCTTCCGCCTCACCCAGGCGGGAGCAGTCATTCGATGATTTTGCCCCCTTAAAAAAAAAAGGGTAGGCTGCGCGAAGCTTCTGCCAGTGGCTCCTCCAGCGTTCCCGCGGGATAAAAGTAGTTATAGTTTGTTCCAGACCATGATCTAATAAAATATAATTATATAATCTACCCTTGTTCGAAATGGCTGCCTAAAATTAGTGCATTTCTATTTTCTGTCGGTAGTCGATAATTTATGGAAAAATATTGTCTAGTCTAGAATGACATTACAAACGAAATTATCCATGGCCTCATATATGGAAATCTCTCAATCTCACAATTCCTGACTTCAAATTGCTTGCCACTGTAAGTCTGGTACAAGTATACCATACCACACCACCATATGAATGGTATGCCAGGCACTAATCTTTATGAGCTATTTTCTCTCAGTCGATGAGGGGAGATGATTCGGGAGGGAGTGTCAGATTCCTACTGACTAAAAACCACCCTGTTCCTACTCCTGCCCTTCGACGGCGGCGGCTCCGTATCGGCATCAGCCCTAGTGGGCCCCATCCGTGGTGGTCTGTGGCGCGCGAGCCACCCATGCTCGCCGTCCGCAGGCGCGTGCTTACGGTGACCGGAGATGTCCTTCGCGACGGCTGGATTGTGAGGTGGCAGAGCTTCGCTCCTTAGCCACCATGACTGCTTTACAAAAGGAAAAGACAGCATCCCAGTCCACCTCGCTCCGCATATACAATAGGATAGACCACAATTTTTTATACTCAAAAATGACCTAGCTAACTCCTACTCCTAATACTGTTTTATTTAAGTATTATTTTCTTGTATAAAAAAAATGTGACTAATATTTTTTCATTACGTAACTGGCAGAAACATGAAGGAATAAAATGAAATAACTATAGTACTTAATTATTACATTAATTTAATTTCCACACAAAGAGGTCTTTCGTGACAAAGACAGTGTTAGTTCCAATACACTTTTTCCCACCCAGTATCTTCTAAAAACAAAAATTAAATTATCTCTTTTGAAAGGTAAACAAGATTTCTTGAATGTGTTATTAACAAAATTTTTTTAAAGACTTAATAGTGTGGAGTTTTTGGTGTAATGTATTCCATACATGTGACAGTGTATCATTTTCCACAATTTACTGTATGATAGATAACTTACAATTTAGGGAATGAAATTATTACTATATTTTATATTCTATCTAACGATTCCAACATTACAATGCTATTTCCTCGGATCACCTGAAAAGAGAAAAAAGTTGTATTAAACATAATTTTCATGTTAAATGGGCTATTATTTGAGAAATGATATAACATAAGATCACGCCTTTTCTCCCCTAAAATTAGCGAATTATCCTTCGTCATGATGTAGGTATTTAACAATATCACAAAAAATGTTGCTTCTATCAATTAGCCTTTCAACCATAGAATATTATTATACTTTGATTTTCATCTGCAAACATTCTTATTTTAAAAATTTCACAGTCAACCTCTGATGGATTCACATTATGTAGCTTTACTTAACCCGTTGATATCCATCGCCTAAATTTGGTCATACAAAAATATTCTCTAAACATTAGAAATAAGGTCTATAATGTAATGTAATATTAGTGGAAAGCGGTCACCGGTGACCGCTTGGGGATTTATGGAAGTTACTTGAGAAATAATAACATAATAATGAAATTGAACAAATACATAGATCATCAATATCAACAAAACTGTGTCTCAAAAAACCAAATTTGGTTGTTATCGAAGGTATGTACCTAAATAACTGGTTTTCATTTAACATGGCTGACAATTGAAGTGCATTATTCAGCAACATGCCTTTGGGTTCACAATCACCAAAATGTTTGAGATGTAAGACTAGCTAAGCCAAGCTATGTTATAACTTCTATTGAAAAACTATCAATATGTAGTCAAGTATGTTCAAAGCTTGTTTCTGCATACTTGGTAGGTTCTTATTTTGGTATTATATTAATGGAATACCAGCCAGATGATGAGCGATCAGGACTGCCCAGTGACCACGCTTATTAGGAATATGATAATGAATAAATAGCAGCAACTGTAAGGGCTGTCTCTGATATTTACAACACACTTATATTATAATAGCAATTAGCTATAATATAGGTGTATGCAATTGACAGGGAATATAAACCACAGCTAAGTATTTCTTATTTATTAATTACTTACCACCATGCCTATGTTGTTCCGCTGACCATCTTTGCATTCTTCGACAGATTCATCCAATACTAGATTCATGAAAGGATCAAAACCTCGTAGAACACCGGTCACTGCGCGACCAGCGTTCAGTTTAATTGACAACTTCTTGTCCATGAACCTGAAATCATTGTTTAACAATCTCAGTCACAAAAGTTACGTACGAATTTCAAAACAATAAAATTTGGAAACGATAACATGGTGTTTTACTGGATTTGGTACACAAAGTTGAGAAATAATTCGTTTTGTTTAGGTTATCCATGACGCGCATGGGACGCTACAGTTCAAAATCCCGTGTTTTAACGATAAATTCAAACGTGTTTCTTACTTTTTCAATTCTGGGGGGTGAGCTTTCGACATTTTTACTCTTTTTATTTATGTTTTATTTAATTTAAATAACTATTTTTATAAATCACGATATTTTTGTGTTCCGGCTAACTACAGTTTGTCCGGCTTGCACTTAAATTTTCTACCAATAAACGGTAGAATTGTAAAATGAACAAGAGAGGTGTATTGTTAATTTTCTACCTTTTTTGAATGTTACCAATATCTAAGGAAATAAACGGTGATTGGTGTATTGGAGAGTAAAATCTTTCATTATTCAATTTTTATATCTATAAAAGTAGCAAATTAATATACATTTACGTTTCTTCAAATTTATATTCCTAGGCAAAAATAATAAAAATATGTACTGTCTAAGGTTATTAATTAAAGGTTATGGTTTCCGAACAGACCTACTTTCAGGTGGTTTCTGTGTAGCCATATGCAATAATGAAAAAACCCAATAACATTTATGATAATAAATTCTTATTATTATGATTTGATTATAACAGGAAATTTTAGATTGTATCAAATATTATGATCAAAATTTTGGTACCGTAGTTTTTAGAAAATTAATAAGACTACTATGTGTCATAATTATTGCCATATCATAAAAATATTTTTGCAAATGTAACCCAATTTATTGTCAAAGACGATGAAATTCAAACTTATCTTACGAGATTGAGACAATTTTAATTTAGTAGAACTATAGTCATTCCTTTTATCACACGTCAAAATAAGTTTAACCATACAATAGCAACAAGTAGACAGCTGGGAGGATGGATGCTGTTGTGATATTCATCAACTGTTTTAATAAATAGCCCGTTCGATTAATGACTATGAGATATTAGCGCAACGTCGTACGTGTTATTAGTGAAAGTTTGTGTTTGTGTTTCACGTTAAAAATGGATGAATCCGGGATCGACATGGGATTCGATCTCGCTACGTTCCTCACGAAAGATTTTAGTGTTGACCAGAAAGTCTTGGAGGAGATGACGGCTGCACAACAACACCAGGACTTCATGTTCTACGAGCTCAAATCAAAAGCAGTGCCGATAATAGAGAGGTAAGTGGCACATTTTTTATAAACAAGTCGTATCGTCTATTTTGTGATGCGCTACTGCGAATGTCTACATTACGAATATTTTTAGCACATCATAAGGAACAATTTCACCGTAGTTCGTACGCCCGCGACCCTGAAAACTGGACTTGGCAAAGCCCCCAGTTTCACCTCTTGTTTATCTTTGGTCTACACAATTTTGCAAACATTCCTTCGTCGGATTTAATGTGTGCAAAACGAAATTTACGCTTTCTTTTGCATTATCAGCCTTAACACGTGACTCTATTATTTAAAAACTGGTTCTAGCGCGATGTTTGAATTTTCCCGCCGTTTTTGGGGTTAAACGGACAACAGTGTATTTTGTTCTTTTTTTTTTCAGAAACAGATTATTTCACTAATATCTTTGGTTGAGGAGGGGTGTAGATATTTTATTATGCACAGAATTACTTACTTTCAAAAGTGACCTCCTTTACGGACCGCAAGGCACTCGACATCTTTTGGCTGTCTAATTGACCTGTCATAGGTGTGATAGATAAATAGGTAGGTAAAGTTGCTGCCTAATTACACGATTTGACCTTTTAGATAAATTAGTTAGATAAGTTTTCGACACAGGAGTTACCTACTGAATTACGGAAACGGCGCGCAGCGTAATGTTTCTATGGCAATGTCCCCAATTTGAAATTGGAAATATCGAATCCTCATAATAGGTACTTTCTGAACCATAATACATACTTACCTATAAGTGTGATACTCTACTGGTGTCATAGTCGTGTTATATCGGAAGCTGAAAAAATGGGCAGCATGTATTTTTCACCAAACGTGCATAGTTAATTGGTCTGTATCGCACCGAATGACATACGCCGCATTGACAATTTGCAAATACAAAAGCAAACCAATCTATTTTTCACTGGCACTTATGGCGGCTCGAGCGCGTTCGATGACCTAATAAATGTTTATGATCTTACTTGTGGACTGCAAAAATTATATCATGTGGCAGGACAGGAACTTAGAAACATAGGTAGTGTTGGTTTTTTACCCAGTTGCAAGAAGGGTAACTATTATTTTTTAAACTTAACTCCTCTTATTGGTAACAGTTGGAATTGCACGATAGTCGCAATTATTCCCGCACGGAACTATCATTTGAATGATCCTTGTCTCCTCGAATACGATATGAAATTACTTACAGAAGAATTTGAAATCTGGGCAGTGCCCCGCCCTATACCCAATATGAGACGGGAGAGTTTATTGTTTGTATTAACTATCAAACTCCTACGCATCCCCAAAAAGGATGTAGAATATTATAAAATTGACCTTAAAAATCCTCGAATGAAAGCTCTCGTAAAAGGAGTTTATAGCCTTTTCGCTTCAACGCTTCTATAAAACGATGCCACTACCCTCTATACGCTTCGTTTGTTAATTTGAATTATCCAACAGAATACTTTTATTGAATGTCGTATTTAATAATGAGGTCCATTCATCTTCTTAATTTGTTTGTCTATTCAGTATTATCTTCGAGACTCAGACGGAGGGGATGAAATATTCATAATAAGTACGACTATTATTCTGTTCAAACTTTGGCATTATTTTTGACGTGGATGCAGTTTTCAAGTTCTGCAGCGTTTAAATTTTTTAAGTCGGCTATGACATCCAACAAAACAGAGTGGCAATTTAGTCACTCGTCTCCGTTTGTGTTTGCCTAAAAATTATTTCTATTTCTTTTTTTTTATGGGATAAGGCGATAAACGAGCAGACAGATCACCTGATGGTAAACAATCGGTGCCGGCCATGGACCCCTAATAAGCCAGAGGCGATTCAACTGCGTTACCGGCCTTTCGGGATTGGGAATTTGGACATTGTTGGTTTTTTTTTATGAAATACAAGTGGCAAACAAGTAGACGTATCACCTGGTGGTAAGCGATCAGCGCCGCCCATAACACCCGCAACACCAGAGGAGGCACAGGTGCGTTGCCGGCCTTTTAAAAAGGAATACGTTCTTTTGAAGGTCGTATCTGTTCGGAAATACGATACGCCGACGATAGATATGCCTGCCAACCATCTATATGATGGGGATGCATATGCTGTCGACAGAGTCGCTGGCGAAAAGATGCGACAGGTTCAAAGATTGGAGAAACTGGGCTTCCGGTAACCTCACTCATACGACAACGCGACGTTGTTTCACGTCGGTTTTCTTCGAGGTTGTGGTATCACTTCGGTCGAGCCGGCACATTCGTACTTCGTATTTTCAAAATTATACCGGCGAGGCAATTTAAACGAAATAAGTTATCTGTGTACCTATTCAGTTATTTACTCATCTTAATACATTCCTTTCCAACCATTAATTTTATTGATCTTGCCTGCACCTATCTAGACAATTAACTTATCGTAGTTTATTAGCCTTTAGTTTTAAAGTTCAATTTAAATTCTACCTTTGTCACGCATGTACGCGATTGTCCCGTAATATTTGCTTAAATGATAAAAACGAACTCTTTATTTGGAATGTCTAATGTCTCCAAACATGCGATGTGGTATTAAAGCTGATAACCGGTTGGTATTGAGCAATGATTGTGAACCAGGAAAATATAGGAGCCGTTTTCGCATCGTCTACAGTTTGCGCTGTAATGATGTCGAGAAAGTTTTGGTGATATTTCCCGGAAAACTAGTCCCTAGAATCCGGTTTTGAACTCAAAACATTTCGGAATTTTACTCCTCTATTTCCGTCAAACATCGAAAATATTTCCAGTAGTTAAACATAACTTCCGAATTAGAAGATAAAAAATTGATATTGACCGCATCGTCGCACTCGATTTGAACAAGTTATGTAATTCTATGATACAGACTTCCTAATCGGCGAAAGTGTCGATTTTGCGAATAAAAGAGGCCAGTGAACGATTCCGAGTTTTATCGACCCAATAAATTATGATAAAATTGTGTGGGGACGTGTAAAGATTATGTCAAAGTATTTGTTTGAATTTATCAGGTGATCTATGAAGTAGGTATAACGGAGCAATAATTGGTTAGTTAATGAAATAATTCCACCCATGCTCTTACAAAATATGATTTGAACACTTAAGAGGACCCAACAGCTCATGTAAAGCTGGACACAGTATTTATAAAAGGTATTTATATGTCTAATAGACCCAATCATTAAAGATAATATAAACAAAAACCAGAAGCCTTGCCCGCTCTTACTTGACCTCGTAAAAGATTCGGTGTTTTATCTCGTCATCGTCATGTGATTTTATCGGTTACATTTGTAGATCAGTCAACTGTGTTTTTATCGGAACTAAATTTGTTGATAAATATTATAATAGAAATACTATTTCGATACATTTTATTGTTTAAGACATCGGTATCGAAGCAGAAAATAGTGGTATTGAACGAGATTATAGAGATTATAGAATAGCACATGATACAGTAGGACTAAAGATAGTTGTATAAGATGACACCAATTGATAGAAAAGACGTGATGGACAGATGG